AACTGTAATGCTCAAGCTGAACGTCATTTCATTCACTTCTCTAGTAGAAGCTTTTGGAAACTCAGGTCGCTCCACCTAGCAGTCGGTAGAAACACATAATATCTCGAATAGCGATAGCGCTGTTACCGCTATCGCTATTCCGCTATCCACTCGAACTTCCGATATCGCTATTCCGCTATTCGCTAATAGCGGACTAGCGCGCTATTGCCCAACACTGCTATTATTATTATTGTCATTATTATTATTATTCTTACTATTATTATCATTATTATTTATCAACACATACTCATTTGTTTACCCGCAAAATTAAAAAATCAATCCTGGAAATTTCACATTCTCAACAGTGATCAAAGCACGAAGAGGTAAAGCTGCATCGCATTAACAAATGTTCACAAAATGACAAACTCGAATACAAGATCGTATAACGCACTGAACAACAATCCTCCTAATTTTGCTTGTAAACAACAATGAAAATGCACAACAAAATCGCACCTAAATCTAAACAGTGATATTGAAGAAATGATAAATTTTGTGCAGCTTTCAACATGAAATAGTCTCTCGGCGATACGGCTAAACGTAGACGATGCGACAATACGGCATACGGTTCCGTGAACGGTTTATCAGATAGCATTGATGCTAACCGTTTCGCGTTTTCAGCATATCTAAAACCAAATTTGGATAACCTCCTATGTAATAATGGTTGAATATGCAAGTTGACTGCGGAATTGCATACAAATACCTTGCTCTCACGAAAACCTTCATTGTTAACACGGACGACTTCATAAAAAATTCTTAAAAATATATCGGAATTCCATAAAAGTATGTCGCTCTCAAGAAAATTTTCATTATTAACACGAATTCATATTATCCGGAAGTAAGTGATGATGTGAAGAATATGTAAAAAAAATGAAAATACATTCTATAAAGAATTAGTTAAACGCTTACATCGGATTAGTTAATATTGACTGCATAGTCTTCTTAACAATGTCGGGCGATAACTCCAATTTGTTCAGAGTCAACGCAAATCCAAAGCGCTGTGCTCGTTTCGCGTTGATGAATTGATCCGCAAATAAAGGCATCAAAATCGCTGGCACACCAGCTTGAGCCGTTTCCAGCAAACTATTGTAGCCGCCATGCGCTATTAGCAATCGTGTTTTTGGGTGTCCTAAAAAAATTATTTTGTTTAGCCACTTTTGCAACATAAAACGACCCAAACGAACTTTTTCTTTCACATTATAAAACAACTTCATATGTCGCTTTCAGCTGGATGATCACTAAAATATCTCTTTCATAAAAGAAGCTAAAATTTTCTCATATTGTCTACATACTATTAAGTTTTTCGACTATATGGAACATAACGCTTTAAAATAAACTGAAATCAATAGGCAAAAATTGATGAAATCGTTCTTACTCATCAGATCCTTTTGTGGAATCCACCTCAAGATGTGAATATGTTTAAATCGTTTCGCTTCCGGAAGGTCCATTTCCAAACGCCATATGATTGTGTAACGTGAAAATTCTGCGAACGCATCCAGAAAGCTTTTCTGCAAACGATGCAAACAATTAAACAGATTTTGATTCAACAATTGCGCAAGAAATAGCAAAAAGAGATTGATTTATTAAACAATCATCGTATATTTTTGTATTATTTTAGCATTGTGTTATTCAAACATTCGTTTATCATAATCGAAAGGTTATGAAAAAGTTATAAATGGGTCGAATTTGAGATAATTTGAGAAGGTTATAAGTAGGTACAGAAGCTGAATTTTTTGTTACATTCAGAATTTTACTGGTATCAAATTTTCGAACAATAAAAAAGCAACGAACACGTTCAGTATGTATCTAAATGTTTCAGGCAGCTAGAAAAAAACAGTTGAAAATGAGCAAAATTAAACGATTCGTCAGGTTTTTCTCAATGGATTCAGATGCTCTCCAGTGCATTTTCACTCCTCGTTTCGTTATCACCAAATCTTACTAGCATCATCGGAGGCATATTTGTCGTGTTTGAAACGGTTCCCAGCGAGAAGATAATGATTCCTTTATCAGCTCTATCAACAATCCCTTTAATATCATCATTTAGGACCGAATTTTGACTTGGTTTACGGCCAATTTCGCCCATAAAGCTGATGCCTTGCGGAAATGGACGTGGAAAGTCCAATTGCGCCTCACCATTGATCAATAATATTGGTACCTGCTGAGCAAGAGACCACAGGTCATCTTGACCTTTTGAGATCAATGCTGAAATTGTGTTACATTAAAAAATCAATTGATGTTTAAGCAATTATTACTACTAAAATTTCAATAAAAAGTTAATTACCACTGTTTTTTGAATTATATTTGTGGTATGTTATTACTATTGAATTATGTGTAGATTTAATCACATGTTAAGTTATCACGATTGGTTTATTGCAGGGATTGGGGTGTTTCGGAGCTCCCGTTCCCAATTCCCAGTCCCCGTCTCCGACTCTTTTCGAGCTGACTGCACTTTCGGGGTCTCCAACTACGAAATTTGGTCCCAGACTTTCCTTATCCCCGCAACACGCGATTTACGATCCTACTGAATCACTGTTGATTCAGGCTTTTATTACATTTGCTAATTCATTAACCATGAAATTACATCAG